GCAAACATTGCTTCTCATGTACATGCTCTCTACCACTACGATCGACATGGAATCCAGTGTCGAATTGTTGGCCAAATTGGACGCTGTAGAGATATTCTTGGATGTTCTGAAGTCATTGGAAGTGGTCCCCACGTACTGATTCCATCAGAAGTGTCCAAATCGATGGCCTCAATTTGTGTGCAGAAAGGGTTGAATGCAGCCCAACGCATATGTGGTTTCAGTATGTCATTAGGGTTGAATTGGAAGGGATCCAAGGTGTTGATGGGTATAGATGAGGTGGTCTATGGCATGGGTGGTGTTCTGGTGTGGTAAATCTCGATGATAGAGGAGGATTTTGTGACATTTGGGTGCGATTCTCCTTACTAATTTTGGGACGTAGGGCCTACATGAGGTGTTGGGGTTCTAATCAAAGTTGGGGGAATGTTTGTCGATTGTAATGGGTGGGACCTTCGACTTTGGTGGCAGTGAAGGGCAAATAGATGGTGCGGTGCCATTAGGCCAATTTCAAATTCTCATGTTGATAGGGGGTTTTTGGGTGGTGTGTCACACTTGGCGGTGGGTGGTGGGGGTGAGTTGCAGATGAAGTCCGATGGTGTAAATAAGGTAAAGGTTGTAGTGGTGGTGCGATGCAGGTAGATGTGGTACTGGTGGTGGGTGGTGGAGTGAGTGAGGTGAGATGAAAAGTGATTGTGACATAATTGTAACCAGTTAATTTGTAAGTTTGAACCCATAAAAATGTATGATTTTGCAATAATTGTGACTCGCAATGTGTTTGAGATTGTGACTTTAGGTGATTTATGACTAGTTCGTGATCGTAACCATAAATTGTGTATTATTGTGACTTTGACTTATTTAATTAACTAATAGGTCACTCAATTTTGTTAGTTGGCCTCGAAATAATTTTTGAAACTTTTTCACAAGTTTCTTATTTTTGAAAATGTATTTTGAAACCTTTATAGTTTACCTGTTTTTCATTTCAAATATTATGGTTGAAAGTTTCTTAAAACTTTATGTAGAGGTTTTTAGAAGTTTCTATATTTTACAAAATAAAAATCTTAGGAAACTGTTTTTTGAGTTAAAAAAAATGTTTTTGAGAATTTCCAAAGAATATGAAACATGTCCAGAATAGAAGCACTAGCCTTTTACAAGTTTTCATGCAACGCAGCATTAGATTAGATTCGATTTCCTTTTAAGTAGCAAGCTATGTATTGTTTATATTTGTTAGTTTGAAAAATTAATATATCCATTCTGCCACCCCCTTGGCACTGCTAGAGCCCATGTGGTCCCGGCATAGTAACATGATCCTAATCAATTTCTTCCTCCAAGTAAAGACTAATAAGTTGGGGTCCCTTGAATTCAACTCCACCAATTTTAGTGCTTCTCGTCAAAACATTATCTCGTGGATCTTTCCATGTAAATAGCTCGAGATTTTGTGTTTATGTTTCGAGAAATCAATTATTTTGTAAATAGCTCGAGATTTTGTGTTCATGTAAATAATTGTTATGTGGATCCACAACTTTTCCTAATTTTTAATCATACATTCTCCAAAAAAATTTAATTTTCCCAAAATTTATTCTAAAAAAAATTTCTACCGAACAGGTGTCAAATAGCTAAACTCATAAGAAGCTCGAGCAACTTGATCCAATTGAATCATAACTTATCTTATAGTGGCAGAAAGTATCGAAATGCACCTAACCTGCAGTGAGCTGTGCCCCAAGTGTCAAAGCGCCTAAATGTAATTCTCCTTTCCTAATCTAGTAATTATGAGCATTTTAGAA